CCCCAAAACCCCAAAACCCCAAAACCCCAGAGTGCTGATTTCGCTTTCAAAAGAAGTTAAGAAATTAAGTTATCGTAAATTAAATTGATTTTGACAACATTTTATATCACCAGCCATTAGTACTGATAAGGATTCTCAATCAGCCATTTCCTTAATATCTTTCCTGCTATATTAGGTATTACCTGAAAACTATTGCTGTTATGCTCTTTTAACTAAAAATGTTAGAATTTATTAATATTTTTACTTTTGTAGAACTATGTGTGAAATTGCTCATCAAGCGCAGTATACATTAAATGCTTTAAGTAAATTTTAAGCTTATGACTGAGATGATACTAGTTTTAGAAGTTTCCAACCCTCGACTATCTCATAGAGTTTTCGTTTGTTCCTGATACTGACATATTACTAACCTACTTACTCATTGATTGATCCGCCCCTGCCAGCACTTCTGTGTCTCTTCTTGTATCTCTTCTGTTACCATTGTTTGAAGTGTCTATTTATCCTTCAAGGTCTTCATTTTCGTGGAGAGCCTATAGTTAGTCAATCTGCTTTTCAGTAAATTTATCAGAAACTCTTCCTAATCCGTCAATCATTTCTTCAAACGTCATGTGGCAATGTCTATCAAAGTCTACTTCATTCACTTAGGTCATCATGCCTAGATTAAAAGCAATACTTATTTCTCTTGGTGGCAAGATCTAAGATACCAACAGCGAGCTCTATACCATCCTTTAAAATTATTCAAAAACTATCAGATTTTTAGGACCACTCTAATGGCCTGACTTATTTGTTGGAATAGCATACTTTTGAAATAATGCTTTTAACATGGGTAAATAATATTCCAATACCTATTCACATTCTTTATTCCAGAATCTTTCCTCTCTCCATGAATGACTGTTGAATCCTTTTATGAATTCATTGAGATGATCTGAAAATAATTTTTCTACCATTGATGTTACAGATCCTACTTATTTCCCCTTTTTATACTTAGTTATCGCTAGTCTTACAATTAGCTCTAGAAATTCAAATCTGCAAAGATGTCTCTCAGGATTCATTGCCTTGATCTTGCCTTAGTAGTTTGATGAAACATTTGTGGCTATAAATTCAACATCAATGTCAGATAGCTTGACTTATTTTCCATCTGCTAAATTAATATTAGTTATGAATTCACTTAGAACATTAGTCCCTATGGCAGGAACACCATTTACGAGTGAAATTCCAGCATAATATTTATAGGTTTCTCTGATTTTCTTATAATTGTCCTTGAGAAATTTCTTAAGCGCCTCTTCATCTTTTTAATCCTTAACGAGTTTTTGAATTTTACCGCACATCCAATCGAATTCGAAACACTTAGTCAGAGTAGATTCATTATCTATAAAATAGTGCTTGAAAAAGTATGACGTTCCTCTTTTCCACTAATTGAACTTCTGTAATTTTTCCATATCTCTCTTACTTCTCGCTTCTCTAGGTTTGCAGCCAAGATATTTGATTTTTTTAGCTGTCAAATAATCTTGCTTTTAGATAATTCCCTCAATAATATTAGTTTATGGGACATTGATTTCTTGCTCATCAATTTTAATCATTTCATCTATCTCCTCAGGAACTTAATCATTATCATATTAAATCTATTCTAATTTAAGAATTTTCCTTCCAACCTTCTTCTTATAATGGACTGTGTAATAGTATCTTATTTTAGTTGGAGGCACCATCCTTCTCAAAGTAAAAGTAGTACCGTCAGATGAACTATTCATTAGATCCCCCTTGTAATTATCTATTGATAAATTTAGATATACCGCAGCAACTTTAATTGTAAATGGCATTAAAGAATTCTTATCATCTAAACTTAATGGTTTATGTTAAAATTTAATGCTTGTCCATCCCTCACAAATCCAACAATTAGAGGTTGCTTTAAGTTCAATTTTTAAAGGATTATTTGCTGTTCCTCTTTTTAGTTAATCACCTATTCTAGTCATAAGATGTGATGCAGCTGCAGGAATTCCTGTTTGACTTAAAAATCCCTTCGCGTCAGTATCAAACTTATTTCCAAGCATGTGAATACCTAAGATGATTTAATTTACTTTCAAACCTTCATTCATTTAATTGCATTCATTTACTCCAAAGTTATTATGAGAAAGATCAATGTGAATCAGACATTTATTCAACTCAAAGCATTTTCTGAGCTAGAAAGCGCATAGTGATTTTAGTATTTAAGCCTTTGTCTACACTTCCTCGTTTTCACTGTCTTCAGCTTTCTTCAATAGTGCATGATACATTAGATCATCAGTGCCAAGGGCATTGAATGATAGATCAATTATCTTGATAAACTAATTATTTGCAAGAGATACAGCTATTCTTTTCCCTCCTTTGTTAGTTATTTAATTCCATCTAAGTAGCAAGCATGTTAAGTTTCGATTGGTTTTAATAAGATTTTAGATATTTTTGGCACCTTGATCTGTTATATTATTATTACTTAAATTAAGTGTGAGTAAGCAATAATTTTCTCTCATTCCCCAACTTAGATGCTTTAGCCCATTACAGCCTATGTTACAGCTTTCCATATTCAAAGTTACTAATCTTTAAAATGGAGAATCTAAAAATTAACCTATACTGTAAAAAACCTTGCTAGCATCTGTAATAGGATTCTAAGATATATCTATTTCTTCAATATTTAAGGTACTTTCAGAGCAAAATACTTTTATAATACCTTCATCACTGAGTCTATTATTTTTGAAATTAAAGACTTTGAGATTATATTTCTATTGAATTTTCAGTTTTTATTCCAGCAATGTTTCTAATATTGCAGTTGAGTAATCCTTTCCCAAACTAAAGTCATTTAATCTCAAGCTTTAAGATTACATGCCATGACCTTTAACTATTCCAGTTGCAATTGGATACAAATTCTTTTGTTAGCAAACTTAAAAATATTCATAGTAATAGTCTGCACCATCAAGTTTAACGTAGTCATTAGGTAAATATTTTATTTGGTTCTTATGAATATTTTTATATGAATCATAAAATTATTGCTCCTCTAGTCTTTTCTGCGACCCTGTTGATTCAATTTCCTATAAGGATGAATCACTTGACCTATCAGTTAAATTCAATGATTACTCAGTTTGATCAAATATCTTATGAGATGTGTCTTACCGAAGATAAGGCATTTTTTACCTATGAAGTCCTTAAAATGTCGAAAATCTCTTCTTTTTCTTATATGATTATTGCTTAGTTTGCCGAGATCAGCTAACTATTTTTTCTAAAGAATTGTAAAAATAATCATTATCCTTAAGAAATTTGCTTTTAGGAGTTTCTTCTTTCCTAGCAGTATGAGTTACATATTATTTAATTTCAGGTATTTATGTGGATTCTTTTTATTTAAGCAAAGGAACTGGAAGTTTGTTTCTTTCAAAGAAAAATTTTAACTTATTATTATTAGACCCAATTAGTCTTGGTGTTTGATTAGGCTTAATTATGCCAAAAAAGTTCTTTACTTCACTTTAAAGCATATCTAAGTCTATTTTCTTGTTCTTTTCATTTATAAAGGGAAGACATCTCTAAGAGTGGCTAGTCTTAAGGGAAGGTTTTTAACTACAAGACCTCATTTTTAGTGTTAATTGCTTTATTTTAAGTTTAGTTTTTGTGTAATAATAATTCAATTTAATTTGATAGAAGAAATCAAATCATGAGTATTATTATATAATCATTGAAATAAGTTAAAGCATTATAATTACATAAAATATTTAAATGCAAAAAGGTAAAATTAACTCATAGGATAGTAAATTACTCCCTATCATTCAGCAAGCATTTCAAGAAAAGAACTATCATATGCTATTGGAATACCTTGACAATATTCAATCTGTAATATTTAAAATTGATATCAATCCTCTTGGATTCACCTATTTCGATTAAATTGAAGACATTTAAGAATGCTTGATAAATCAGGGAGATCTAAACTTAATCAAGGTTAATTGTCTTACCACTCTTTGCTTGATTGAGCTAATCCTTGTCTAATGAGAAGAATTATATTCTGAAAAAATGGCAGAACTAAATTGTGAAATCGTTGTGAATAGTAGCTCAGAAATTTTGAGAAATTTATTCTTAAAGGATAAAGTATTTGGGATTATATACAAGGATATTATAGCAGGTGACGAAATATCTGCAACATTGAAGCTCATTATGCTGACAGAGTGTATGATTAATTGCAATTTTTTTGAGCTACTAGATAAAAATAAGATTGAACAGTTTTACAAAATTATTGTTATTGCACTCTAAGAATAACATATGCGAAGTATATTAGGACCTTGAGCTTTACAACTATGGATTATGCTTGTGAGCAAAAACGAAAGAGCTAGAAATATGTTTCAAAACCTGCAAATAGTCATGAACTTTATCATTAACTATTCAAAAAATTTAGATTTGCCTGAAGAAGATCAAAAAGAGTAGTTAATAAAGTTAGTCTTAATTGTAAAGAATTTGCTATATGCTGATTAGTATAATTGGCTTTTGAAAGAGCTCAAGATTTCAAAATCACTTATTAGATTTTAAGAATGCAAGGACCTTCCTTTCTTTGTCACTAAAATATCATATAAAGACTTATTGAGAAGGAAAAAGATAAATCAAGCGAATTAATTTGTTAATTCTCTAGTAATCTTAGATACAGATACTAGCCTTAATTATGAAAATAGAAATATGAGAGTGCTTTCTGCTAATAGGCAATCTAAGAAATTGAATAACACTGAAGACTATAAATATGGCAATATTTCATATTTCAATCAAGGCATTATGGAGGATGTTTAATTTTAAATCGATATTAAAGATGAAGAATTAATGGTTGAAAAATATCGAATCAATTCTCTCTAGTCAGGTGGTTGTATTTTAGCAACTGAGCATTTATCTCCAAGATAGTTTTCTAGTTTCCTACCATTAACTTAAAACGGTCTTTCACCAAAAGATAGTATGAAAATTAGTCTAATCTCAAAGAAGAGCTCTAATAGACCTAAATAGCTTCAAGGAATGAATGATGTTGTTAAGTAAAAAAGAGTTGATTTAATGTACAATAAGTAAGTTCATAAATCCTGCTGTGGTTCAGGAGAAAATAAGTGTTTAATATTTTGATTAATACTTGAAATTATTAAAGTAGCAACACCCACAAGAAGTGACTGGTTGTTGATAAAGATTATTTTAATTTACTATGCGTAATTCTCTCTAATTTACTTAAATTTGATCCCAATGGGGTTTTGGGGTTTTGGGGTTTTGGGG